ACACACACACACACACACACACAAACACACATACTCTCTTTCTCCACACACACACATACACACACACATACACACACACATGGACACACACACACGCACGCACACTTGCGCGTGTTTCATAAACCTCAAATTATAAGACATAAAAATTCATTGAAGGCTATCATTACTTTTTGGTATAATGTAAGCGACAGTGAGCTGATCTCGAGGAGACCTTTGTGTTCACACTCTCAAAATCTGTTTTAATATTTCTCTCAGCCACTCGAACTTGGTGTACTAGATAAAGAAAGACTAATTACCTACCTTTAGAGATTGAAAATAAAACATCTTGACGTACAGAAACAATATCAGTAAGTGGAAAAATGACCAGATGCTTACATATTATTGCGTAGCTTGTCTTCTTTCAACATGTGCCTAATATTACACGGGTCGTTCAAAAAGTTTTGCCTCCAAGTTCATATTTTCTTTATTACTGATGTTACATACAAAAGTTGTACACCAAATGAAAGCTTAGGATGTCTGCTACATGACAGTGCCTTTACTTTTCAACATAGTCGTCTTCTATGCCCTTGCAGATCCGCCAAAGTCGAATAAGTTGTCGCATGCCGTCGGCGAAAAATTCATGTGCTTTTCCTCGGAACCAGCGCCGCACATCTTCTTGAACTTCATCGTCATCTGCAAAACGTTTTCCTTTGAGGTACTCCTTCAACTCAGGAAAAAGATAAAAGTCAGATGGAGCAAGGTCTGGACTGTATGGTGGGTGGGGTAAGGGCTCTTGAAATCTGAGACTTTTCGTGGCTTCTTCAGTTTGTCGACTCGTGTGTGGACGGGCGTTGTCGTGGTGCAAAATTGCATTTTTTTCCGGGCCGAACTCGTGACAGCCGTGCTCTAAGTTTCCTCGGGGTCTCAATATTTTCCTTTTCCAAAAATTCCATATGAATCAAACCATCGCATTCCTAAAACACTATCAAAAGCCCTTTCTTTGCAGATGAAACACCTTTAAACTTCTTGGGGCTAGGTGAGCCAGTGTGCCTGTATTCTTTCGATTGTCTTTTGTTCTCTGGGTCATAATGGTGTACCCAAAGTCTTGTCCCCTGTGACTTAACGGCGTAAGAAAGGTTCACCTCCATCAGTATAACGAGCCAGGAGTTCATCACTAACTGAGTTCGGTTCAATTTCAGCTCAGGTGACAACATGTTGGGCACCCACCGTGCACACATTTTCCTGTAACCCAACACATCATGGATAATACATTGAGCACTCCCTACAGAAATCGCTATCATTTCACTGACATCTCTTACTTTGATCTGCCGGTTTGCTTGGATGATTTCATCAACTCTCTTCTGGTGTTGAACATCACCGACAGAGTTGGGACGACCACATCGAGCTTGGTCATGCAAATCTGTCTCTGCGGGACTGGTTTCAGCGAACTCCTTTGCCCATCTTCGAACAGTACAAACAATATACACATGCTTCACCATAGACAAGCTTCATTCGCCTATGAATATCGAGGGTGCAGCTCCTTCTGCAGTAGGGAACTCAATAACAGCTCTTTGCTTTAAGCGCACATTCATAGGTTTGGTGGACGCCATTTTCTCAGCTACAATGTACCCTAGCTTCTATGATGTATACAGCAATAGCATAAAGGTGTGACATCATACCATATTTTGTTTTTGGGGGTTTGAGAGTATACATATTAAAAGTCAATTGTGTACAAATTTCATGAAGATATCTTGAATAGTTTAGAAGTTATTGGGTAGGAGGCAAAACCTTTGGAACGACTCTCGTATGTTGCAAAGTACAATCAGAGAGTTTACAGTAATACTATTGTAAAGTAACTGTAAACCCTCTCTGGTACAATCTATCGGAATTAAGCTCATGCGATTTGACACGGTGTGTGCAAAATGAAAATAACCCATAAAATTAACAAATTTAAATGTGTTCATTTCTTTATATTACATTACCAAAAAAAAACGAAACACGA